AATAATAATAATAAGAAGAAAACAGCATTCTGTAGGTTCTCTCGTCTGAGGTTCTTTCCTCATCCCAGCCACCCCAACCTCTCCTACCACCCCCGTGTGATAGTTGAAGCGTGTGCGACCTAGCATTTCCATCTTTCGTCGTGGCCCTGTAACAGGGAACACCAATACTACTACTACTACTACTATTCCTTTGATTAATGCTTTCCTGTGGGAGAAGGAAGAAGGAAGCAGCAGGAGGAACACACTGACGTCCTGGAACTACGACTAATCCCCTCACGGGATCGTCCTGTTTGGATTTTCAGCTGAGAACTGAACAGACGATGAAGAAAGGTTGAAGTAAACGTGTTGATGTGATAGTCCGTTCTGTGTATTGTTCGTGTGTTCGTGTAGTTGTAATAGTAGTAGTAGTAGGAGGGGGTGGATGAGGGTTAGTCAAATGCTTCATACAAGGGGGTAGAACGGGGGTTGAGATTTACCATGGGTGGGCTGGTATTTCATGGAAAAGCTGAAGGAGACTGTGCAACAAAATGCTAGGTTAGGGTGAATAACAACCATTATCCAAGCATTGTCCATGAACACGCGAGAACTCATTTCCGATTATATCCATTTTCTTCTTCTTCTTCTTCTATTTCTTAACACTACTACCCCTTACATTCTCATTCTCACCCTTTTATTCTGTTATTTTGTAAGTCTACTAAATTCTATACATTACCCCTTCTTAACTCGATTGAGGTTATGTTACTTTAATTTGTATTAATATTATTGTTAAGTTGTTAGAAGTTGTTGTTAGAATGATGATAGTTTCATGTATCTAAAATATTTATGTATTATATTGAGGAAAACATTTTTGTTATTACTTTGTTTCTTATTTTCGAATGTATTATAGGTTAGGTATGATAAACGTGAGTTTTGTAGAAACAGAAGTAAAAGTATAAGAAGAAAAATAAGAATAGGACAATTTTAAAGACGTATATGAAAGAAAAAGACACTTCGCAGAATGACAAATAAAAAGAGATCAAGAAAAAAGAAAAAGAAAATTGAGAATGAAGGAACAAACAAATAAGAAAGAATAAAAAGGTCTACAAAAGGGAATATTTCTTCTCTAACCCTTCCTAGTTCTCTGTAAAATGGTTGAGAAGAGAATAGAAAAAGAAAATGTTAAAAATATGTAAATAAAAACAAATAAAGAAATAAAGTAGAAATAGTAACTAGAGGAACTAGAAGAACTAGAGAAACAAGTGAAACTAGAGGAACAAAAGGAACTAGAAAATAAGAAGAAGAAAATGAAGGGGTAAAGGAAAATAAATAAAAAGAAAATGCTAAAAAGATGAAAATAGAAACAAATAAATAAATAAAGTAGAAATAGAAAAGTAATGGTAACTAAAAGAACTATAGTAACTAGAGTAACTAGAGGAACTAGAAAGAAAGAAAGAAGAAAAGGAAGGGGTAAAAGAAAAGAAATAAAAAAAATAAATAAAAAGAAAAATAAGAAAAAGAAAAGGAAGGGGTTTAAAGAAAATAAATAAAAAATAAAAAAGAAGAAGAAGAAGAAGAAAAAAAAAGAGGGAAAAAGTAGAGAAAAGGGCCCCGCAAAAGAGGGAAACGAGCAGCTGAGAAAAATAATCCAATTTAAATATAGCGAGTGCCTCGTGGCTCGCCTGTTTTCACGGTTTTTAATTATAAGCGACCCCTTCCAGCAACACAACCACCACCACCACCACCACTACTTCTACTACTACCACCATTACTATTACTACCACTACTACTACTACTAATACTACTGTGAACCACCCTGGTATCACCCGTTGCTTTTTTTTTTTCTTTCAACTTTCTTTCTCTTTCTCTCGTTTATTTTTTCTCCTTCTTTCTCTTAGAAACGTAGCTGGCGTACACTTTGTCCTCATGATCCTGACAAAGGAGAACGTTTTCATGGATATTTCACAGCAACATGGCAAGAAGAGAAACATGCCTCCGAGCTATGACGCACAAGGAGGACCGTCGTTGTGTTCCTCACTCGACGTTGGCGTCTTTTCGTCTGGTTAACCCAATTTTACCAAAAGAAATTTCGTATATACCTTCTTCCTTTTTCTTTTGTTTTGTTATTATTATTATTTTATTCGTACGTGTATATATTGTGTACACATATATATATATATATATAAATCGTGTTTGTATGTGTATAGTAAAAGATTACCGTACGTAGAACGTATTGCTAGTGGAAATACCTTTCTTACTTATATATAAATTTATATTATACGTCACATGTATATAGATATATAATATATATGTGCAGATAAAACATACAGAACTGTATATATATATATATATATATA